ATAAATGTGATCTCGAGGATCTACGAGAAGTCAGAGAAAAAGGTTTTGCTTTTCGCTTCTTCAATTAGACTTGACATTTTTTAAAGTTCTAAATTTTATTCTATTTGGAGTTAAAAGGAAGTAATCACACACACGCACACACAAAGTATATGTATATATATATATATATGTATAAGTTCATGTCTCAAATAACTTTCAAATAATATTTTTAAAAGTAAGTTAAAAACTTGAGAACTCAAGCAAAAATTTGATGTCCCTTCAGAAAGGAAGATTATTACGCTCTAGCCCAAACTTCTTACAGGACAACAAGGGATGGCAGCGGGCAGAGTTCAAACCAGGCACCATTGAGATGACAGTCCAGAGCACATATCACATCACCAGGCAACCATCCATATAAATGTTTGTAATACTTTAAAAATCATTATTGATTTTAAAAATAGTGATTCATCATTTTTTTTAAATGAGCATTCTCAAACTGAGAATATATAGTAGGCCTCAACACTTACCTGCAACAGTCCAACCTGTGGGTAGTGTAGACCAATAGCTTGTTGCCACATCACAAGTCTGTATGTCAGATGATTGGTCTTGCTCAAACACCTTTTAAATTTTAAGCAAAGTTAAAAAGAAAAAGATAAATTTAGGAAGGTTCGGACATTCCACTCTATTCTATGGCTTTAGCTTATCATTATAGGGTTAGAGTTTGAAGACATTTTCTTTTCAACAAGGCATTGACTGTTGGTAGAGGTATTAAATTTTATTCCACCCACATCAATGCAAATTTACTTTCTGTAGTAAAAAGCAACTTTAATAATGTCATTTCCCAAAGTCTCATTAGCGGTACATAAGGCCTGGAAAGGGACAAAAAACTTAACTAATACAAAGCTACATTTAACCACTGCCTTATGTCATTGCCTCATCTATGTCATCACTTTATGTTACGTCACTTTCTGTTTCGTTATTTTATGCTTGTTAGTCGGATCACGTTACTTGACGTTTCTTTTATTCCTATTTCTTAAAGATGCCCAGGAATATGCTCATGAAATTGGGGCCATATTTTGTGAGACCAGTGCCATGACAGCTGTGAATATTGCTGAACTTTTTGATGCTATTGGTAAGACAGACTGATACTTTTCATTGCCTTTATATATTTATTTAGGGGCATCGTGGCTCATGTGGAAAAGTGCTTGGTTTCTAAACTGAGAAGTCCTGGGTTCAAATCTTGGTGAAGACTGGCATTTTTAATTCTGGTTACCTGACTTATGTTGGGGAAAGTAAAGGTGCTTTTCATTGTGCTGGCCTCATGACACCCTTGATAACCGTCAGAAATAGAAACAGGTGACCTTTACACTATCTGCTTTATAGATCGCAAAGGTCTGAAGGGGGGTACTTAACTTTACTTTATTGACATTTTTATTTACATTTGGTAGAAATATTAAAACATTTTCTTGTGAATAAAAATTGTTGACTATGTTTCTTGAGATTTTTACATTTTGTTCTCTTCATTCAGCCAAATTGTTACCTCCTGAAGATTTACTAGGAACGTCTAATCAGATGGGCGGAGGAAGTACTGTTAACCTGCGGAACAATGCCTCTAAGAAAAAAAGCAAGTGCTGTAGCGGCTCTGACACAGAGGCAGCCAGTCAACAGCCAGTGCGGCGGAGCTTATCAACTCCTAGGGGCAGTTCTTCTGTCACATATCCATCCTGATTTTGGTGTAGATTCTATAAACTTATCTGGCCGGTATGTCTGTCTATAACATGTACAGAGACAGACAGATATATCATACTTTTATATCGAAATCACTTAAATGTGTATTAAAAACATTTTAAAGTCCTTTAAAAAAATTACATCTTTTTAAAAAAAAGTTTTTGTGTAAGTATATAAAAATCTATAACATAAATAAAATATATGATGTGAAAAAAAAAAAGAAATGCCACAGAACAAAAATTTTTTAGGTTTTTCTGTGTTAAATTTTTAAAACAAAACTTGAGAAAAAATATTTTTAAAAAACTTGTATTAATTGTTTTAAATGTGTAATGTTCTAAGCAAATAATATATATTACAATCAGTACTCCAGTTGTTTTTAAGACAGTAGAATGTGGCCATTGACAAAGATTGCAATGAAATTTATTTCACATTCCACATTAATCTGCCGTTGATGCATTTCTTGAATGATGTAATTGAGAGAGCACTCTGAAATGTTTATTTTTTGAGGTGCCAAATCTTAAGAAAAATAAATTACAGGTTTCTAATGATCCTCTGATAATGTGAGATTGAACTATAGATTTTAAAGGTGATTTTGAAATGACTTTTTAAAAATATGTTTTATCCAACAAACTTGTGTATATATATATATATTTACATCCTCTCAATAATTTATTCAGATTCTTTCATGGTCTTCACTGTTTTGATATTTGTTTACACAGCTTTATAATAATGCATATGTAGAGTTGGGTTTTGTAGAGTTTTACCATCACTGAGATTGTGTTTTATTACAATGTAAGTATATCAACTGAGAACAAGTTTCACCTTGAAAAGAATCAATGTTAAAAAAGTTTCTAGGATTATTTTAAAACTCATTCTTTAAATATATATTATTATTATTTTTTTATTATTAAATATATATTAGTTTTGAGTCAAACCATCAGATGAGTTTGTCATCCAATTGAAGAAAATGCCTAAATTTAGTTGCCATTAGGCCAGTTGGCTGCTTGGTCATGTGGGGAGTGGCTCGGATTGTTGCCTTGATGGTTCTGAGCTCAAACACAACCCATTATCATTTTCAGCCATCCTGCAGGCTGGGATGTAATAATCTTTATTTCTGAAAGATATTCCAAAATTTGTAAAGCAAACAAGTGTCATTTCTATTTTCTTATGTTTCACTTGTATGTTTGTTTTTCTGACTATATCTTAGATATTCACATTGAATACCTCAATGAATAAGATTTGTTAAATCACCAAACTTCGAAATGGTTGTCCCTTGAACAAAGTTTGAAATGTGTTGTATGTATTCAGTAGCTTTTTATGAAAGTTTGTTAGTGTTTGACTAAACACTCAACTTTTTTAACTCTATGTGTACTGCAGGTTTGTTAGTGTGTGTGAAGAAACACTCAACTTTTTTAACTCTGTGTACTGCAGGTTTGCCAGTCATGTATATAGTCACAGTTCCAAATCATTCAATCATGTGATGAAAGCACTTAAAACTTTCCTTGTTTACCTTGAGTTGTGGTGGTTGAATGGATCACAAGGTCTGAAAGGGTTACCTTTATCCTTTTACTAACTCCACCTTGAAAATCTGGTTACATTGTGGCTTGTCTTGGCCTAAGCTTGATTTGTAACCTCACTGAGTCTTTTTTTGACCGCTGTGCTGATGTTCTTTTTATTGTGTTTTGAAAACACTCAAAGCTCCATTCCAAAAAAGATGAGTGAATTTTGACCCAGTAAAATTGTTGATCACACTTTTTGAGCTCTTTCATGGTACAGCTTTCCTTTAAATTTGTCATTTGGACAACAACTATTATCCATAAAGACATTTAACTATCAGTAACATTTAAGGTTTGGTATGGTAGGTGATGTTGCCTGTTCATGTAACCAGAATTTGATTACATCAAGTTTTATTATTTTTAATGAGAACATTTCTGAAAGAAACCAATATTTTCTAAGTCTCTGGCCATTCCTAAAGAATGCTGACATCTTGTGTCTGGAGTAGTTGGGTGCAGTAACTCAATCTTTTGTTTTTATGTTAATATGTAGAATTACAGCTTGCTTTAGAGAAAAGAGACAACTCTTTTACAAGTTTTTGCTTAACTCTTTTTCTCCGTTATTATTTACCACATTCAGGTGGAACCAACGTTGGTATTGTTTGTTAGGAGAGAAAGAATTAAGACAATCTGGGCACCTTGGTCAGTCAACAGCCAAAAAGAGTTAAATAATGTTTTTATGAAAAAAAAGATTTAAATCTTGTGTTTCAGGAGCACTATCAAGCACCTCTTCTTGAACCTGTCTTGGGGCTAGCATCATGGCACAGATTATACTGTCTGCCTGTGTATCCAACACTTTACTATTCTCCCATCAACTTTAGGGTTTTTTATGATTATGAGAGATGAGGACATTAGATGAGTGAAAGTTTTGCCATGTCAGCATCTTGTACAATGCTCTTACCAGCTGTATTCATTGGTAGGACAGGGCCAAGTCAGATGAAGCTGTATTCATTGGTAGGACAGGGCCAAGTCAGATGAAGCTGTATTCATTGGTAGGACAGGGCCAAGTCAGATCAAGCTGTATTCATTGGTAGGACAGGGCCAAGTCAGATAAAGCTGTATTCATTGGTAGGACAGGGTCAAGTTAGATAAAGCTGTATTCATTGGTAAGACAGGGTCAAGTCAGATGAAGCTGTATTCATTGGTAGGACAGGTTAAAGTCAGATGAAGCTGTATCCATTGATAGGACAGGGCCAAGTCAGATGAAGCTGTATCCATTGATAGGACAGGGCCAAGTCAAATGAAGCTCTGTATCCATTGGTACGACAGGGCCAAGTCAGTTGAAGTGGCAGAAGTTTGTTAAGAAACTATGTGCCTCTAAGTCTTACAATGCTTTGAATTTTTCCTGTTCTATGAGACTTAGTTCTGTAATCCATCATGTTGATTGTTGTGCTGTTCAGTTTCACATAAACTTCACATGGTGGATAAAGACTTTATTTTCAGCAGAGATAGAGCTCTCTCAGCAAGCATCCGTTAGCTCAGTATAAGTTCATATGTTAACTCAGTCTTAGTTCATACGCTAGCTCAGTCTTAGTTCATATGCTAGCTCAGTCTTAGTTCATATGTTAGCTCAGTCTTAGTTCATACGTTAGCTCAGTCTTAGTTCATATATTGTCTTAAGCTCATAAATAGAAATCTCAAGGCTTATTTTCTTCTTTGTGGTAACAGTCAAAACTCGATAGAACCTGTTTATGACAAACCTATTTATGACAAATATATGTAATGAGATCATAATAGTATTATTTTTTTTAAAAAATAACATAGTAAACAATTTGAGCTTTAGATTTGATTTTGAAGTCAATATAATTGGTCATAAAAAATGTTAAATTCTTTTTACAAAATATAAAACTGCCTTGAAGCTTATCACTAAGTTTTGGGCCCTTATGCAAAAAGGTCACAAATAGATCAGTCAATGGTTAGTAGATGTTGGACGCAAAGTAATGTGTGGACTACATTAGAGCATCAAAATGTCTTTCCAATGATTCAGATGACTCAGCTAAAACAAAAGCGAAATTAAGCTGATATAAAATGACAGAATTTGTATTACTCATTTATCTTAAAGGAGCAAACAGATTTTTAGAAATGAAATTTATAATCTTCGACATTATTATTTCTTGAAAGATATTGTAGACAAATTAAAGTATTGCAATAAAATTTTAGCTTTTTTCATTACAGCAAATTTTTTTTTTCTGACCTATAAACTATTTTAATAAAAATGTACAACTGTTCTTTTAAGCTCATGCAAATGTACAGCTGTTCTTATAAGTTAAATACAATTTTTCAGCTGTTCCAAAAGTTCATAAAATGTACAGCTGTTCTTTATAAGTCTAATCTTGTTGCCTGCTCCTGCCTGGTTGTGACTGAGGTAAAACTCCTTGTTGCTGCATATTGTTTGAAATGCAAAGCTAAACTATCGCTGTTAATATGTGCACCACTTATCTCTCTTATTATGGTCAGATGGTCATTGCTATTTTCTATTGTGCCTGTGTTTACAAAACGTATGTTCAGAATAAACCTTGAGATTGACAGTCCATTGTGGGAGCCTGTTTTTTTGTTTCTCTTAATTTTTTAGATGAAGCTTAAAAGAAAGGGAACCCTTCGCTCATTATGAGTAGTTGGCGGAACACTTTGCTTATTTTTATAAAAGTTAATTCACCAGGTGACCTACTAGTTAATTATTCCATTAGTTTGTGGAAAACCTATTCAGGTCTCGAGGAACACTAGGGTTCTGCGGAACACAGTTTGGGAAACACTGATATATATCTAACAATTAGCTTAAAACTTGCTAAAGAAAACACTGAACTATATTGTCTGTTGCTGCTAAAACACATTAAAATTCATTTTTATAATGTGTTCAGTATCTTTAAATTTCTTGGTTTGTTGTTGTGTTCAGTCACTGAATTCTTAAAACCCAGTGTGATGCTTCTCACAATCTTCAACATGATGGATACATGCTGCATTAAAAACAAGCAAAATACATAACATACTGTTAAAAAAAAACAAAGCTTATATTTTATGATAATTGGTTTTTAAAAACGTTTATAAAATTGAAATTAAAGTGAACGAACTTAATTTGAACTCATGGCTCTCGCCTCTTCTGGCAGACTTTCACACTGCTAGTGAGGTACTTATGACTGTAGAAGATTTATATATTGTTTCTTTCAATTAAGAGCACCCTATAAAGGGGATTAATTCAGCTTATATCAACAATTTAGTAAGTAAAATTTCTACCACTTGTTCGAGATTACAATCAAAATTAATTAACTAATGGTTTAATTTTTTAAAAATTGTTTTTGAATTGTCAGATAAAAGAAATAATTGTGCAAAATTTCAGCTTGGAGATTGGGAGAAATAACGTGTACACATTTTTTACCAGACAAACAGATCAATTTGATATAAGCTTTGTAAAAATAAATCAACAATTTGTGGAATGTTGTTTCAAGCGAGTAAATAAGCCAAATATATTCAAAACATTTCTAAATATTATCACTGTATAGATATAGAATACAGTATTGTCACAATCCAATAAACATTGTTGCTAGTCATGTAATAACAGAAGCTCACTACTAGTGTTGTTTGGACTGTAAAGTCAGTGACTGGAACTTGCTCTGACTAGAAGTGTGTTCCTGTGCCTTTACTCAACAACATGATTTCATCAGTAAACTATATCACACTTGAGTGGGAACACAAAGGTAGCCAGCTGCATTGTGACATCACACTTGAGTGGGAACACAAAGGTAGCCAGCTGCATTGTGACATCACTCTTGAGTAGGAACACAAAGGTAGCCAGCTGCATTGTGACATCACTCTTGAGTAGGAACACAGAAAGGTAGCTAGCTACATTGTGACATCACACTTGAGTGGGAACACAAAGGTAGCCAGCTACATTGTGACATCACACTTGAGTGGAAACAGAAAGGTTGCTACATTTTGACAGCACCCAATTATTAATTTGAGTCCATATCTTATAAATTGCAAAAATTCCCTTAAAAACAAATGTTTACATCCATGTATTAATCTAGTTGTTCATTGATTTTCTGGGCTGATTCAGGCAACCCGTTCCATGCTCTTATGTTACTTTGGAAGAAAGAGTACTGATATGAATTTATCCTAGCATATTGTAAGAAAAATGTGCTTTTATCTTTGTTTCTTTCATTATATTAGGTTATGTATTGGCAAGTTAGAGTTGAGTATTTTATATATTGCTTTACTTGAAATCTTTAGTATTACTTTAATTTATTATTCCTTTACATCTTTATTATTACTGGTAATAGGCGATATCTGGTTCTTTCTGTGGTCATACCATAGATGTGGGCTGCACAATATCGCCTATTACCAAAGCACTATACCAGCACAAGTTAGTATAGCAAATGATGTCATTAAATGAGTGGAACATATATTTTATGAACACTGTGAATTTAGTTATACTTTGAATGACTTTTCTGTTCATATCAGGTCATTGTAAGGTTATGGTGGGTGTAGGTCAAAGTATAATAAAACAAAAAAACAATTTTTTTTTTGTTTGAAAATCAGTAGACACACATATGCATAATTTTATTAAAAACATTTATTTTGAAAATAAGAGATGAAACAAATGTTTATCATGTCCACTTTTTGAAACCGTCAAGTAGTAAAAATTGTCACATATAATACAAATAATGTTCACGCCCATTTTGGTATTATCTTTCATTCAAACCAACTGGTATTTTACTTTCTCCGACTATAAGTCAGCTTTTAACTCAAGATGAATGAACACACAAGTCTATAAAAAATACACATTTGATAAAAGTAACACTATTTCTTTGGTGGTAAAGACTTCCATTCAGAAAACTAACTGCAGATGAACACCACAAGGTAACTGAACAAGATTTTGCATTACAGAGCTCAGTGACAATTTAAACTATTGTATATTTCCCAAACAATAAAAAATGTAAGCAAAGAGTATTTCAATAATATCTTTAAAGGCAATGGAATAATAACAACAACATACCAAACAAAATGTTGTCCCTTTGTAGGTTTATATTGCTGATGAGCAAATCTTAAGTAAAATAAAATAACTAGCCTAAATAAAAAAGATAATAAACAAAGATGTAACCCTAATTAATAGCAGTAAAATGTACCATTTTTAAACAAAATGATTTACAAAATATTTATTTGATGACAAAAAATTGAAGACTAAATAAGCTGGTTTGTTTTCTCATTTTAATTTTTTTATTATTATACTTTGAAAGCAGCAAAAAGAAAATGGTTCATTTAAAAAGGCATTTTGATATTTTTTTTTGTGGTGAAAAGCTACTTGAATTCTATGAGCAACATAAATTGTTACGATGACACTCCAGTTCCATAATTTGCACCGCCAGCTTTCCTCAATGCTGCACTAACAGTTTCTAAAGAAATATCGTTATGATCCTCTGCCAAAATTTCAACAGCAAAATTCTGTGGAAACAAAAAATGGACTTAATGAAAATGTTTTTACTGTATACACTTTTTTTTTTCCTGTAGTGGTTAGGATACTCTTCACAATTACCTATCCCTTAGTCTATTAAACATTGGGGCACCACACAAGATCTGTTGACCATTTTTCTCCATTTCTCTCAGTCTTTTGTCTTAGATAGAATTTCTTTCAATGGCAGGCCATTCCATTCTTTTATGTTGCCTTCCATCACTCTTCTTCTTTTTCCTGGTACTGTTCACTGAAGGAAGGTCTTTGCGTGCAACCTTGTGATACGGGATAGACTTAAAAAGTTTGAGTTTTTTTACAGTGAGCCAGTCATCTTGGGGGTCCATTGCTGTATTAATCCTATTTCTAATCTCTTCATTTGTGATGAAGTGTTTGGAAGAAATACCTAAAATCTTACTGTAGCACCTCTTTGTCATGATAAAGTGGTAATAATTACAGTTTTGAATGTGATTATATATTTTAGGGGAAAAAAAAGTTTAATAGTAATCAGAAAAAGTAGTTTACTCTGCTATCATGTTTTGGTGATGATTATGATCCACAATGATTTTAAAATTGTTTATTTATTTATTTATATTTATTATCTTTATATATAATTCTCTTCTTCCCTAATCAGGTCAGATGAGAAGTAAATGGGAAGATCACTCTGCGAATAGTCCACGAGAAAAAAAAAGAGGGAGGGGGGAGGAGAACACGGGTAGTCACAAAATGGCAACCAAGAAATATCACTCTTTTTTTTTATTTATTTCTATCTACGTTTAAAAAAAACGGGGGGGAGTAATCCACTCTGTTGTAACTAAGGGGGAGGGGGGGGGGGGGGGGCGAAAAGCACGGCTCAGGAAAAAGGTTAAATCTGAGTAGAATTACTTTAAAAATAAGTATTTTGCAACATTTAAGAAATAGCAAAATGGTTTAGTTTAAGCTTAAAAAGCCAGAAGAGTTCTTTCTAAATAGTGTTGTTTTTATTGGTGAGACCTAACGAAAAGGAAGACAGTAGATTCAGTGAGGCTTGGTGAGACGTAAACTTAATGAAAGGGAAGACAGTAAATTCAGTGAGGCTTGGTGAGACATAAACTTAAAAAAAAGGAAGACACTAGATTCAGTGAGGCTTGGTGAGATGTAAACTTAACGAAAGGGAAGACAGTAGATTCAGAGAGGCTTTTGTGAGACCTAAACTTAACGAAAGGGATAACTTAGATTCAGTGAGGCCACTTCAGCTTCTGCTTACTTTGATGACATGCTTCACAAGTGCCTTGTCCACACTCAACTTGGCTTTTTTAATGGGACTCACTTGACTGCCGGACCATGTAATAAATGCAAACTTGGCTCTTTTACTCATTTCATCTCCAATTGTTACTCTGACATAACCAAACATTCTCTCTTCATCTAAATAAAACAAAATGAAACAGATATTACAACCATGCAAAGAATTTATTATGGGGGGTGGTGGCTGAGTGGTTAAGCGCTTGACTTCTTAATCTTGGTTCTAGGTTTGTATCTCAGTGAAAACTGGGATTTTGAATTATGGGATTTTTAGGGCGCCCCTGAATCCACCCAACTCTAACGGGTACTTGACTTAAGTTAGGGAAAGTAAAGACGATTGGCCATTGAGCTGGCTACATGACACCCTGCTCATTAGCCGTTGGCCACAGAAACAGATGACCTTAACATCATCTGCCCATAGATTTCAAGGTCTGAAAGGGGAAACTTTACTTTTACTTTTTTACTTTGAAGAAACTATTATGTCACTATACAGGTATGTAAAAAAAAAATTTCATTTCATCTCATATCACTGCTTGATCTTGTGGTATGATCTCTGAACTGCCATCCTCTGGATTAAGGGAGGTTTTGGCTTGGATGTAATAATCTTCCATTTGGAAGGAAAGTGTGACAACTTCCAAGTAACGAGTCAATTTTGCCTTTAATGTAATGATAGAAATAATGTTTCATTTTGATCTTTTTCTAAAAAAAGAATTTGCCTTTTTTCAATTTTAAGGTAGACTATATGCATTTCAATCTTAATTTTTGATAGGCAGGGAAACTTTAACCTCCTTCAGTTGTAAAACAGCTCTTTTTCTCCAAGACAATTTTTTCATTAGATTGTGGAACCCTAATCAGGAGAGACATTCATGTCTACATATATCACAGATTAAGCTGGCATTTGCTTTGGTGGTAGAGAAGCTAGCCAGTTTTTGTTTGGCATGCTTTTCTTCCAGAGCTAAGGCCAATAGTTTTTTCTAATGACAATGTAGAATCGAAATACTTGGGAAAATTTCTTTGAAATTATTTTCTTTTGTGAATTGGAGTGGCTGTTATAACATCTTTAATGAAATTGGGTAAATTATAGGGGATCAATTTTTGCAACTCCTCATATATTTCATAAAATTGAAA